AGGGGGAGGCTAAAGAGCCGCATGCGGCCTAGCTATATATTTTTATTTCAGGTTAAAACAATTTTTTAGCAAACTTTATAATCCCAATTTTTCCCTGTAAACCATCTCCCTCTATGCTTCTATACTAGAGTGTTTTTACCTAAATATGCTTGTTTTTAAATAATAACTTTTCTGTATTATTATTCCGCTGCACTACTGACTTCTGATGTTTTTTTTATATAATTTGATCTTGCGTGTAACAATGTTTTCTTCTATGTATTTGCTTTTTGCTACCAAGATTTCCTATTGGATCATTAACAGAAAATTTGACCTGCAGAGGATTCCATTATGGAGATATTTAACCAATGACAATTATCTAGATCCTCCCAGCATGATGCTTCAAATTTAGTTAAAGCTTCGTCCAAAAAGTCCTCCCTCTCTGCCATTTTTACCTCTTTCAGTCTGATTCGATCCTCGTGCCAGACATGGGACAGTGGAAAAGAAAAATACCTGAAAGGCCCCCTGTAGTGTTCCTAAAATTACCAGGGAAAACAGACAAATTAGCAGCAAGACTTCACCTCGGCGGATTGCAGCCAGCAGGTCACTCCGGGCGTCGTTCATCGGGATGTTCAGGATGCTCGACGGCTTCCTGTTTTCAGTCGCTTGAGGCAGTGGGGGCGCAGCAGCTGAGGCTGCTGCTTGGCCTCCAGGGTGGGCTGGGGAGGGGACATAGTTGGCAGGAGGAGGAGGGGGAGGAGAGGGGCTGTAAGGGCGGGAACTTGAACCAGTGCCACCTGCAGGTAAATGAAATATGGAAAAGTTTTATTGGTTGATTTCTGCCAAGTTGGAGGTTTCAGCTGTTAGTTCTTTTTTGTTTTTTTTGTTAAGCAAAGATATTTTTTATAGAAGCGATGAAGAAAACATGTTTTGGAAGTGAAACTTTAAAATATCTATGGAAAAAATGTAAACCATATTTTCAGATTACAATTTTTTTCAGATTTTATATTTTTAGACCTATTTAGACCTTTTTTTCTCGAAGTATTTCAGATGTTATCTTTCCAATTTTTTTGTAGAATGCTTTTTAATAATTGCCCTCTTTCCAAATCCTCTGTTACAGGTTTCAGCCTCTACACTTCCTGGTGGTCTGTGTGTGGACCAATAAAAAATGCTGTTGCTGTTCACGCAGAGAAGGCCTCTTTCTATTGGTCCACGCACAGACCACCTAGAAGTGTGGAGGGGGGAGTGTGTAAAAGCAGATTTAAAAATAATACAATTCATATAAATCCGTCTCTGGAAACATATAAGCAAAATTAAATTTGAAAAAAAAAACTGAAAATAAGAATGTTTTTTTGAAAAAATAAAATGTGAAAATAAAATTTAAAAAAAAATCTCATTTAAAACACTTCAAAAGTAAAATATGCAAAAAATCAAACTAAGTCTGAAAAGAAAAAATCTGAAAAAAAAATCTAATTTGAAACGAAAAATCTGAACTTTTGCAATACACTTCATAAATTATTCTCACAACCTTTCTTTATTTAGATTTTTTTAATTTCCTTTCTTGAAACATGTTTTCTGCTTTCAGTAACAATGGAAAAAAACATCTCTCCATAGATGACTGTTACCTTGATTACCAGCAGCCACTGCAGGATGCTTTTGGGTTGCCACGGCAGCGCTGTGGGTGGAGATGCTGGAAAACACTTTTTGTCCCGCTGATGGCATTGGAGGAGGGGGAGGCGGTGGTGCTGGCGGGATCTGATGGTCACTATAGAGAAAAAAGTCAGCTTACTAGGTAATCCGGTCAAATTCATGCTGATGTTCTGCCTGTGTGCCTTTCTGTACCTGGAATCCCTTGCCATGTTGACCCATGCTCCTTTCTGAGTGGCTGAGCTGGCGGGCGGCACCTGGTGGTGATGATGTGGCTGGTTGCGTCCCAGGGAGTGCTGCCGGACGGAGGTGGCAGCAGCTGCCGAGGATGCTGCTGTGGGCCGCAGGGCACGATCAAGCGACTGAGTTTGGCCGCTGCTGTTTGTCACCATGGAAACAGGGTCCTTCCCCTCATGACAAGGGCTGGAGGGGTCATCGGACATTCTCGACCTGCGTGTATGAAGTCTACCTGTGAGATACATGCAGATGGTGGGCATTTCGTTCCATTGTGTGCCGTGGTTACCTGTCAGGTGACACGGAGCCATCGGAGGTGTGGTAAGGTGATGGTGTCAGTCGAGCATCTGGACGGAGCTCCTTATCGTACGCCATCAGGTTCCACTCCTGCCGTCGGTTCCGAGCTTTGCGGACCTTCGTGGAAAGAAAGCAGAAAATTACGCCGATAGAGTTTTTAAATGGGCCGGCGGATGGATTACAGCCAGACAATTACCTTCTTCACTTCCCGTCCTGAAGACTCCTCCACCTGCTTCTGCTCCTAAAAGGAGAAACCAGATGTGAAAAAAAAGGTTTTGGCATGGATGGATGGATGGATGGACAGACGGACGAATGGATGGATGCACAGACAGACAGACGGAGGGACGGACTGACGGACGGACGGATGGGTGGATGGATGGATGGATGGACGGACGGACGGACGGATGGATGGAATGATGCACGGACGGACAGACAGACAGATGTACGGATGGATGGATGGACGGACGGATGGATTGGTGGATTAATGGATGGACGGACGGTTGGATGGATGGACGGACAGATGGGTGGATGGATGGACAGACGAATGGACGGAAGGATCGATGGATGGACGGACAAATGGGTGGATTGATGGATGGACTGACGGATGGATGGATGGACTGACAATGGGTAGATGGACGGACGGATGGATTGGTGGATTTATGGACGGACGGACGGTTGGATGGATGGTCGGACAGATGG